CAACATGGACGGTCATCCTTTGACCTGAGGTTATGTCCGGTCTGACAGACGATACAGCGACGATCACTTAGTTAGCCATCAGTGTCGTAACTCTTTCTTCTGAAGTCGACATCAAAAGCTGTAAACATGAGAACATGAATGTGTTTCTCACTCACCGAGTCAAATATTAACTTTGTAAATGTGAGAAGTCGTGTCTATTAACGCAAACCATTCACATTCTGACTGCCACTCATTAACTCAGTTTAGATTAATGAGTGACTGATTAACGTGAGTCAGTCTGAGCGCAATTCAGCCGTGGTTTAGAGAGGAAGAGGAACGAGTGGGAAGGCTGGAAGAGACTGGAGTGAGCTGTAATTGCTGTCTAATCTCTGATGGATGGGTGAGCAGATTCCTCTGCATACTGTTGATTGCTTCTGAATGACAAACACTAAAATATACGTTCCCTGAAGAGTCTGCTGCAAACCCAACAGAGCCCTCTTTGCAAATGGTTCTTCAGCTTTTGTTGGCTAGTTGTTGGGATTTAGCTGTTGCATGATTGGTTCTTTCAGAATTATTGGCTAAATGGATTTTTTAGTTGCTTTTTTTATGATTTAGAGAGCCTCTTGTTAATGATTAGATTAGTAGTAGGACAGTAGTCCCTCACTTATCGTGGGGGTTACGTTCCAGACACCACTGAAGGTGAAAATCTGCGAAGAAGGGATGTTATATTTATTTTAGTATATATATATATATATATATATATATATATATATATCACACTCTTTCAATTTTCTAAACTCTTAAACCTATGCCATTTTAACAAAATATGTATATGTACTGTACAGTTCTGCAAAATTTTATATGGGTGATGGTATACTGGTGGGTACCAGTGAAGATACCACTACAACTTGAAGGATGAGTTCAGCTTCAGGATTATTTGTGACTTTCCTGCCAGTTCTGTGAGCTTAATAGATAGATCATTACTTCTGACTTTGTGTTACAAAACTATTTTCACCACATCAGTTTCTCTACTAGTGTTTGCTCCTTCCACCACTGTTCTTGGAATTTCAGCAGAAAGCAGCAGCGAGAAGCACTGTTGGCTTCTGGGTAGTGTAGTTCTTTTGATTTGCGTTACAGTGTAGGCTTATTGAAAGAAAACTACAAAATGGCTGTGCCTGTCCAACGTTTTTTTTTCTTTAACTTTTTATCCCATTCCGTCCCAATCACGTGAGTAATATTCAAGTTGACTCCTTGGGTTCGCTGCCTGAAACCTTAGAACGCGCAGAACGTTTGGGTGGCATCGTAAAGCTTGAAATAAATTCAGTCTCTTACGAAAATTTCACAAAAGAGCACAGCGGAAGAGAGCAAACCGATTGATGCTAAGGTTACTGAGCCAGTCAACGTCGAGGATATAGAGCACAATGCTCTGGTTGGTGGTTGGTCACCTTCCATTACTCAGCCAATCGTGTGTCGTGCACAATCTTTTGTTGAAAACTCGCGAAAAAGTGAGTCGGCGAATGTCGAACCGTGAAGTATCGAGGGACTATTGTACTAGTTGTACAATCACCATAAAAATATGAGTGTGCATTCTGTTTAAAGAGCAGAAATAAACGCTGTAAATGTGTACTTTAAATAACGATTTGAATATTTGTCAGTAAAATTCATTGAATATAAATTAAAATGCTTCCTGAATTTGTACCATTTTTATAGATTGTCATTTTTTTTCTCTCTGTAGTTTTGAGTGACTTGTATTACAACTTTGAAATAAGTGATGGATTTACCAGGTTTTAATTTCTCATATTTGTACTCCCTTGGAGAGATGTGCGATATGGCATGAAATTCATATCCTGATATCTATTGTGATGGGTGACGGTAACGATGTATATCATGTTTTTGGTATAAAACTTGCAATAGGAATAGGGGGAAAAAAACATAGGATGTTCTTTTACCATCATTTATTTTGAAAACTGCTATACCACAAAATAATCTCAATCAAGAAAATTCCACTACTAGGTCCAGAGAGTTTTTAATTAACAAATCAAGTATTAGGTTTCATTCTTGTAGTGTAGTAGTATAGTCTCCGTCTGTGCATACATATAAACTTTTTCTTGTCTCACCCTTAATCTTTGATCCACTAAAGATAATTTCTTGAAAGTTCATACACGTTTGCTAAATCACTATACTGAGTGTTGCATACACTTTTCATCCTCCCAGTTTCAAGGTCAAGGCCACAAATTAAGGTCAAAGTTAAAACATCTTTACTTATCTAGGCCATTGCTATGTAATAGTTGTTGATAGGTGTATAACGTGCCATATGTGGTATTCTTGTTATGTTTTGTCTTTCTGAAGAACATATTTGTATAAAACAAAGTCTGGTCTGAAGCAAGCCATCATTTAAGGTCTAAACATTTTCCTTTAGCCTGTCTGCCCCCCTCCTCAGTAACTGTCCCCACAGAAGTCTTAATCACGAAATACATTTTGGCTCATAAAGAAGCAAACCAACTGGCATCTGTAGCAAATATTAAACATGTATTTGTCTTAATTTTGTTGTTTTGTGTGATACGAGTGTGGGTTTTTAAGTGTGATTTGTGATGTATGTGCTCACCACCACCTCCCCCCACTTCAGTCCTTCTGTGTTTTTCATGCATCAGAATGTAATAACTCATCAGCACCGCAGTACGTTTGAGTCCTGCTTGCCCTGACTTTGGACTGGAGTGTGCATGTGAGCGTGCACACAAACTCACAAAGATGTTTAGTGCAGAGTTAACACTCTGCAGGTCCTCCGGTTTGCTTTGACCAGGACTCTAATTCAAGACTAATCTAAACTTTACAACAGCTTTGAAAGGGGCTGTTTCTTGTCTCGTCTATGACTCTTCTCCACTTCCTCCTCTTCCTCTGTTATTAAACAAGATGGAGACAGCGCTGGAGAAAAACGAACCAGACGAAATATAACTCATTGCACAATCATGATGCTCATCTCGTAAATGTATTCAACAAGCCATCATAAACTGTCTTTTTCTTTTTTCTTTGACTGGACATGGTTTGGATGAGTCTAGGATTCAGGATCAGGATCTAGGATTTCTGGATGCATAGTAGAAAAGCTTTACCAAGCTTTGTCATCAACAAAAAGCGAGAAAAGTTTTTTAAAATGTCTGTGTTCATTTGTGTGTTTAGTGTAGCAGTAATGACTGATGTCCCCTTACCGTCAGCAAATTGTATTTATTTATCTTTTTGTTTCATTTGACAAGTACCAAACTAAAGTTTCAGCATCATCTTCTTCTGATTGATTACTGAAGAGATCCTATAGGAAGCCACGGGGGCAGCGGTGTAGGAGGGAAAACCTGACATTCCTGTCCCCAGCAACACACTCGAGGCATTCCCAGGTCAGGGAGGATATATTTACTGGTAGTCTCTCCAGTGAGTTCTGGGTCTTCCCTGGAGTCTCCTCCAAGTGCGCCTGGAAAACCTCATCAGATGCTGAACCACCTCAGTTGATTTCTTTCAATACTGAGAAGCAGTGACTAATCCGAGCTCCCCTCACATGACGAAGCTCCTAACATTATCTCTGCCAGATACTTGAACTCCTCCACTCGAGACGGAGCCTCCTCCCTGACCCAGAAGGAGCATTCCACATTTTTCTGGTTGGGAACCATGGCCTTGGACTTTCATCCCAGCCACTTTGCATTTGGCTGCAAACTGCCTCGGTGCACGCTAAAGGTCATGACCTAAAGCCAACAGAACCACATCATCTAACGAGGTTAGGTCAGGTCTTCTGGACAGATTCTTCTTCTTTGGGTTCAGACGACCTGACTTAACCTTGTTAGATGTATCTACCTGGATTATTGAGCATGCATCAGAACCACATCATCTGCACAGAGCTGAGATATCTTCTCCATGACTGTGCCTTCAGATCCTGTCCATGAACCTTACAGACAGGACCGGAGACAAAGTGTAAAGTTCAGGCACACAAAACTTTGAACATTTTCTGTTTTACTTTCTAAAGTATTTTATCTGTTGTTGTTTCAGTAAAGAGATCTTTTTCTGTACATTTAGGTCTGTGAATGGCTGAGTTGTTTTTTTTTAAATACTGTATACCCAAATAATTCACAAACATGTTAATAACAGTATTTTTGTTTGTTTTTGTTTCATAAATATCATCCAGCAGTAAAAACCTTCCCAAAGTATATTCACCTCTGTAGCAACTTATTTTGCATTAACACGAGACACTTCCTGCACTCGTCCCTCTTCACGTTGTGTTGTCTCTGGTTTGTGTCTGTGCCTTCATGTGTGATGGCTCTTTGTGCTGAACGTGAGGTTCTACCTGCGCACCGTCCCTCTGAACGGGCTGACTAGGCGTGTCAGTGATCTTGGCTGCTGCCTGTTTGACTTACTGCAGCCTCGTGTGTGTGTGTGCTTGTGTGTGCGTGCACGTCTCTGGGGGCTCCTCTGATGACGCACATTGTGACGGGGGAATGCTGGGTGTGGAGACCAGGAGGTGGGGGCTTTAGGAAGGAGTTGAGGCGCAGTGGGCTTTCTACGGTCTTTGTTTCTTTGTCCCTTCACCTGGACTTGTCCAAGCAAAGTGTGCACACTTTGATGTTTCACGAAGAGGCTCAGCTGCTGTAGGTGCAGCATCTGTCACTTTAAACACATGACCTCGTTACCTTTGGCTTTATGGGACATAAACCTGTGAATTATTTTGGATTAATAAAACACCAAAGGACAGCATTATTGAAATATTTGTGAATGCCTACATGCACGTGCACACACACATGCATCTGCACACTTAATCGTTGATAAGCTTCCTCCTCAGTGTGGTGTTTTCTGTGTCAGTTCCAGATTTTTTTTAATCAAAGATGTGTTGCTTGTTTAAACTTACTATGAGCTCAGAGGACGTTAACATAAACACTGGACTTTTACTCATTCACATTTCCATCCTGCTCCCTTGTTTTCAGTCTCTCCTTGGTAAACACAGAGAAATGTCTAAATGTCCATTTTCCTTCTGGTGTTTTGTCCTGCAGACTACCTGACGTGTGGGTGAATGAAACGGAGCGATCTCAGCTGAAGACTAAAGTAGTGCACTTATCCCAGTTACCACAGGATACGGCGATGTTATTAGACCCAAACATCTACCGGTGAGTGGGTTGTATAAAACCAGCATCCTCTTTGTGCTCACTCGCACACAGTAAATCCAGTCATGATTTCATCAAAGCTGTCTCAACATTACCTTAACAGGGGGACTGATTGTGTGACTGTTTAAAGAGACGGAGACGTTTCAGTTTTTACTGCAGCTCTTCACTCTGTGTGTGTGTTCAGAACAATACAAGCGGAACAATTTGATGCTGAGTCTGTGTAAGATCACTGAACCTTCCTCCAGCAGGTGGCACCAACTCATGTTTTCAGAACTAGACAGCTGGTTGCAGAGAAATCTCATTTTGTCTGCTTTATAACATTTTCTATGGTGTGCCATGATGCGTGGGTTCATCTATTGGTCATCTGAGTGCTTTTTATCCCTCGCTACCAAAGACATGCATTTTGTTACATGTCTGTGTGTGTTCGGTTGTTTGTCTGTTTTGGCTAAATATTTTATGAATCCCTAAACAGATTTTAATGAACATCTGCAACAAATTAACTTTTGGAATCACCCGAAATTAAGATGGCCACCACCGCCGTCAACATTAGCCAAAACAAACATTTCTCTTAGCTCAGCTGATACACTAATGTTTGTTTGGTACAGATATTGACCTAAAATTGGTTGTGGTAGTCGCTCAGCGTTGCTCTCAACACATACTCTGACGTTATATGAGCTCTCTCAGAACATCATGAGATACATACAGATACATATGAGTACATCATGCGTAATGTCACTGTTTGACCAAAACAGCTACATCATCAGAAGATGATTTTAGTCATAAACTCTGGCATGAAAGTCAGCAGGCGATACGTATAAGAATGCAGGACCTTATTTTTATTTATGATTTTTTTATTTAAAATATTTAATAAAGAAAACCTTTAAGTATTGATTATTTTCTTCAACTTCACTTTCTTTTGTGTACGCCGGGTTATTTAACATGCACAGTTTGTGTTGCTATGAAAATCATGTTTCTTTTAAGAAGTTGATCAAAGACTACCGTGTTTTCCGCCGTCCACGTCGCACCGCCCTATAAGCCTCATCAGTCCAAATATGTCTAATAAAGTGGAAAAATCCATAAATACGTTGCTTTGCCGTATAAGTCGCATCTATTATGCGTCACCGCTGACAACCTGGAAATGTGGGCCGGTGTTGTGCCAAAAATCCATTGGCTGCTAAATGGCGGCCGCAGGAGTGTGCATAGGAGGACTTTAACAAGAATTTAACAAGATTAACACATAAAAACAGTTATTTGTTTGCTTCTTCTTCTTCTTCTTCTTCTTCTTTCGGGTTTTCCCTCTTCAGGGGTCACCACAGCGAGTCATCCTCCTCCACCTCATCCTCTGCATCCTCTGTCCTCACTCCAACTATCTTCATGTCCTCTCTAACTGCATCCATATATCTCCTCTTTGGCCTTTCCCTTTGTCTTTTTCCTGGCAGCTGCATTTCTAACATCCTTCTACCAATATACCCACGGTCCCTCCTCTGGATATGTCCAAACCACTGTCCCTCCTCTGGACATGTCCAAACCATCTCAGTCTGGCCTCCCTAACTTTATCTCCCAGTTGTTCAACCTGTGCTGTACCTCTGATTATCTCATTCCTAATCTTATCCATCCTTGTCACTCCTAAGGAGAACCTTAGCATCTTCATTTCTGCCACTTCCAGTTCTGTCTCTTGTCTTTTTGTCCATGTCTGTCTCCAGACCATACAACATAGCTGGTCTCACCATTGTTTTGTAAACTTTTCCTTTGACCTTTGCTGACACCTTTTTGTCACAAATCACTCCTGAGACTTTTCTCCATCCACTCCATCCTGCCTGGACTCTCTTTTTCACCTCTTTACCACACTCTCCATTTTCTTGGACAGTGGACCCCAAGTACTTGAAGTCCTGCACCTTTGTGACCTCTGCTCCTTCTAGCCTCACTGTTCCACCGGCCTCCCTCTCATTCACACACATGTACTCTGTCTTACTACGGCTGACTTTCATTTCTCTTCTTTCAAGCGCATACCTCCACCTCTCCAAATTCTCTTCCACCTGTTCCCTGTTCTCACCACAGATCACAATGTCATCTGCAAACATCATAGTCCATGGGGATTCCTGCCTGACCTCATCTGTTAGTCGGTCCATCACCAGAATAAACAAGAAGGGGCTCAAAGCCGATCCTTGATGCACTCCCACCTCCACCTTGAAACTATCTGTCACTCCTACAGCACACCTCACCACTGTCCTGCTGTCCTCATACATGTCCTGTACCAGTCTAACATACTTTTCTGCCACTCTAGACTTCCTCATACAATACCACACCTCCTCCCTCGGCACCTTGCCGTTTGTTTTTTCTAAATCCACAAAGACACAGTGAAGTTCTTTCTGACCCTCTCTGTACTTCTCCATCAGCATCCTCAAAGCGAAGATGGCATCTGTTGTGCTTTTTCTTGGCATGAAACCATACTGCTGCTCACAAATAGTCACCTCTCGTCTAAGTCTTGCTTCCACAACTCTCTCCCAGATCTTCATTGTGTGGCTCATTAACTTAATTCTCCTGTAGTTGCTACAATTCTGTATATCACCCTTGTTCTTAAAAATGGGCACCAGCACTCTTCTTCTCCATTCCTGAGGCATTTTCTCACCCTCATATATACCATTGAATATTTGAGTCAAAAACCTCACTGCCATCTCTCCAAGACATTTCCAAACCTCCACTGGTATGTCATCAGATCCTACTGCCTTCCCCTTCTTCATTCTTTTTAGAGCTTTCCAGACTTTACCCTCACTAATCTTTCCCACTTCCTGGTCCACATTTTCTATGACCTCTACTCTTCTTTCTCTTTCATTCTCTTCATTCATTAGCTCCTCAAAGTACAAAGTACTCCTTCCATCTTCCCGTCACACTCTCCTCACTTGTTAGAACATTACCATTACTATCTTTAATAAGCCTAACCTGCTGCACATCCTTTCCAGCCTGATCCCTCTGTCTTGCCAATCGGTACACGTCCTTCTTGCCCTATTTAGTGGCCAGTCTCCCATACAACTCATCGTACGCCCTTTGCTTTGCCTTAGCTACTTCCCTCTTTGCTCTACATCCCATCTCCTTATATTCCTGTCTCCTCTCTTCAGTCCTCTCACTGTCATATTTCTTCTTGGCTAATCTCGTACTTTGAACGCTGTCCTGCACTTCATTATTCCACCACCAGGTTTCCTTATCATCCATTCTCTGTCCAGATGACACATCAAGTACCTTCCTACCTGTCTCTCTAATTACTGTTGCTGTAGTAGCCCAGTCATTTGGAAGCTCTTTCTTACTACCCATTATTTATTTGTTAATTATTTGTTTGCTAAACATTATAATAAAGGTTTGTCTCAGTTGAACTTTTACTTAATAAATGCACTTTGACGGTCAAGTCAGCTGCATGTCGGGGGGGCGGTGCAGCGAAATAAAGCTGATTTGATGTTGTTCCATGCGAGTTGGACGAAGGTAGCAGGCTATGGCAAGCTGGTTGTGTCATTATAGCCACTTTTAACTATTGCATGACACAGCGGCATGCCATACTGCTCAAGTGCCATCTAGTGGCTGAAAATGGTTGTGTTCAATATTTTCAGTCTGAATGAATGAAAACGGTCATATCTCAGCTAAAAGTTGGTTTATAAATATGGGAAAAAACATAAATATGTTGGTTTGATGTATATATTTGATGTATTTTGGGGCGGAGATGGTGCAGCCGACTCAGGATCCGAAGGCCCAGGGTTTGATTCCTGGTCATTAATCATCTCGTGGTGTCTCTGAGCAGGACAACTAATCCCGAATTGCTCTCCGGGCGCTTACATAGCTGCCCACTGCTCCACCTGGGTGCATCCCATGTGTGATGGGTTAAATGCAGAGAGCCAATTTCATATTTGTATGGGAACATACAATGATGACAACACATAGCACTTTATAAGTCACAGGGCATGTAAATTATGTAAAAAAACAGCAACTTATAGGCTGAATAATATGGTAATTTCTGTCCGTCACACTCGGCACATTATATTTATCTTTTGTTTCAGTGCAACACATACCAGTAAATAATTGTAAGTTATGGTGTTGGGTTAACTGCTACATTCATGCAAGGTTTAAAATAACATGAAGAGATATGGTTTTGATTTATTATACTGATTTTTATTCAAAAGAAGAGGAACGGTGCCAAAAATAACTGAACGGTCTTCTTACCAGAGGTATATGGTGTGCTCATCAGCACAGGGGCTGTCTGATTCTAATTGGACCTGAAGGTTCAGTAACTGCAGGAGCTCCTGTTGGCTTTCAGAGCTGAATGTAACTGTCAGTAACCAGTTTGTGTCCAGTTGTTTGTGTGTTGAAAACTGCAAAACAATTGTTGGTCAGTGCCAGAGACCAGCGCATGTAGATGGGACTGATGAGAAGGGACTGTCCAGAAGTGAAGGATTATTTTATACAATACTGTGCTGAAGGCTTAAACTTAACTTAAATCATTTCAGATATGTTGTTAAGATATTTCCTATTTAGACTGGTCTTATGTTTTGATCTGCTCAGAGACGGGATTATAATGAAATTATGACCCGGTTCTGACTGGGTTAAATTCGGCCAGCAAACTCTTAAGAGAGTCTCCCTGATAATTCAATATCTGTCAAGAAATAGTTTAATCAGCTAGCCACATCACTAGAAAGGCTTTGGAGCACCGTTTCATATTTTTCCTAACACGTCAGTACACATAAGACCACGCTTAGACACGCCCCCTCATACATTGACAGGTTGAACTCCTCCTTCTGCGAAGGGCGGAGTCTAGGGTCCTATAAATTAATGATGACACGAGACATCGGGGCTCTTCTTCCGGGTCTGTGAACGCGTCACAGACTGAATAGAATCCAGCGCTGTAAATTGTAATCTTTTACTGCCTTTTTTAATATAATTGATAAAACTTAATGGACGTTTCCTTGATTTATTGATTAGTATAGTTGCCACTTCTGAGGAGGGTTCGAGCCAGGGGTGAGGACGTGGGGGGGGGGGGGTGTCTGGGTCTGGTGGCCTGCAGCAGCTCACTTCTTTAACAATGTTATATTAAACATGTAATACAAAAAATGCCTTTACACCAGATTCTTATAGAACGTTTTGTGTTTCAGAGCACTTCCTCAGAAGCGTCTGAAGCACAGGTAAGTTAACTGCTTCAACATGTCTGTGTGTGTTAGCTCAGTCTAACAGTAAAACTGGTGTTTTTCACTGGTGTTTTTCACTCTTATGTCACGTGTTTTATATCTGTCTTGTGTTGCCAAATACAAGTTTGATAGAATGTAATTTCCCATTTTTGTGAATTTGTGAAGTTATAAATGAAAATGCACCAAGCTGACTTTAAAATATCACTAGATTAAACTGGAGTATATTTTAAAAATACGTATTACAGTTTGACAGCAGTAGTACACACTACTACACACTAATCAAATACTCACAACTGTTGCCTTGATGCATCACAAGAGTCATACACAAAATTCTAGTTATTTTAACAAATACATATGTATATTTTACAAGCTCAGTTAACGACTCCAGATTGTGACATGTGAACTGTCCATCGCAGTCTTATTGAATTTTGAGTGTTTGCACCAAACGTTGGGCTCTAGGCAGAAATTTGTGTTTGTCATCGTCAACAAGAGATCCTTCCTGCCCACAGCCATCAGCATCTAGAACAGCTCTTTAATGAAACCAGGATGATGACTTGCATTTCATTTCTCTTTGAGATCAATAAAATATTTTTGAATTGAATCAATCCAACAACTGATGATTGACAATATTTTTGTGCAGCTTTTTTTTTTCTTTACCATTTTCTAAAAGCAGTGGGGTGGACAATCCCTGTTCTCCATACAGCTGTTGTATGATTGTACATACAGGTCAAAGCTTATGGGGAGTGGTGGCACAGGGGTTAGAGAAGGTGGGCGTGTGATTGGCCGGTTCAATTCCCCATACGACATCAAAATGTGAGTGGGAAAGGTGAAACAACCACACCTGCCTCCACCCTCATTTGCCCCACATCTGCTCCCCCGGACAGCTCTCTGCTCCACACAGAGGGCTGTGGCAGCTGTGTGGTCTGTGGTTGTGTCAGGAAGGACATCAGACGTAAAAACAATCAAGTCTTTGTGTGAGTTAGGTTGTTGTGGTGACCCCTGAAGAAGGGGAAAAAAATTATATATATTATATATCCCAGTTTATTGTTGGGCGTACTTCATTCAATGTTTTTTTTTTCCACTTCTGGCTGTGATGGTCTACAGTGGTGTTTGTAATCAGCACAGAACCGTACATGTCTCCACTACTTGTGACGTTTGTAACAAGACGACTCATTCTCTGCTTTTTGTTTCTCTCTTGTTTTTGTGCTCAGCCTGTAGGACGTCATGTGCGGGGTCAGTAACTTAAAGAGGAAAGTTGTTGATCAACCTCCGTATGGGACGGGACGCTCAACATCTGCTGACTGGAGTGTGAAGGGACCATAATAAGGAACGGAAAGTGGCTGTGGCGTAGTTCACCTATTCTCATTGTTAGTTTTATTTGAAAATAGTTTTTTTTTTTTTAAGTTTCTTGATTCAAAACTTGGATTTTATTGTTGATGTTTTTACCTTAATTTTTCCCCGAGTTCCATTTTGCGTAGGCCTGCCATATGACTCAGCGTATTTTGCTACTGTTTTGTGTAAAATATTTATCCAAATTTGTAACTTATTTTTTTACCATAGATATGCTGGTTTGAAGTTATTTTGACAGTTCTGAGTAATATCATATTTATGTGTGAATATTATGTAAACTGTTACCTGTAAGGCCGTTTGGACATTGCTAGGTGTGATTATGCTGTGCATGTGACGAAGATGCTAACCGGTTGTCCTATTTATCCTTCCTGAATGCAGTACTGTTAACTGTGTGTATGACAATGACGTGTGAAATTTCCTGTCACCGTCCAAACTATCAGCGGAGCAGTAACTCAGCGAGACACTACTGTGTAACTCCAAATCACAGCCACTGCTGAGAACAACCATAAAAACTGACATTTTTAATCAGCACAGGAAAGAAAAGCGTACATCACAACATATACTTCCACCCAGGTCAGGTTAACTTCGGAGTCAGAAAATTTAAATTCCCACTATTTATGCTCTTGTGAATCACTGAGACTTTGATATTTGACGTGGTCCCTTTTGAAACTTTAATACTGTTTGTAATAAAAGGAGGGATTTGACCGAATGCAACTGGATGTGAAGCAGAGCTGCATTCAGTACAAAGCGAACAAGCTAGAGTATTGGTTCCTTATGCGTGCGTTGGAGGGATTGGCCGGGTTATTTGGCATCCCATTAGCAGAGCAGCTTTGGGACCCCGCTGTGGAGGAGCTAATAACTGGGCCAGCAGGCCAGAGCTGCTGTTTGTGAACACGCCTGCAGAGAAAGAGTTCACGGAGAGTTCCACTCTTCAACACAAGCACTTGCATGCTCACACATCCACAATTCATTTAGGAGTTTATTATGTGATATAATGAGGCTCTCAGGTGCCGTTCCACTGCTTCAGGGCATTGAGCTCTGAAGATGTTGGCACCCTGTTGTCTTTGTGTGCTTTTCTAAGTGGCTTCCTACTATCTGCAATGTTCTGCAGACGTGGTGCTAATATAAAAAGTTTGTAGCGCTCACTGATCAATTTGAGCAGTAAGCAGAGAATGTTTTGATTTAGACTAAATATATATGTTTTTTTTTTCTTATTGTTTTAGTCATAGCTCAGTTTCATATCTCGTTTCAGGTTTTTGTGGTGCTAATAATACTGTCAGATTGTTAATACTTATAACTGTGAGCAAAGTAACTGTCTCTGAAAAATATAAGTTTTACCTGTAACATTTTACATAATAAATACTGTTTCCTTTTTTAAAGTTTCTTGCCTCTTTGAAAATTTAAAGGTCCAAAAGTGTCTTTTAGAGAGTTGTACTTATGGAAGTGTGTCCCTTTATATAAGTTTATGATGAAGCAGTGTGTAAAATGACCAAAGTTGTCTTGTCCCCTCATGTTAAAACGGCTGCAGGGATGTTGATTTTTTTTTCATTCATTCAACATTTATTTCTACTGGTTAGTCTCATTGAGCCTCGAGGACTCACTTACAAGAGAGACCTGTTTTTAATAGAGTGATGACAACAGCAAACAATCATTTAAAAAAAATAAAAGCATATAAATTGAAAAAATAAATGGAATAAAATAATATTAAAAAGCGAAACAAAAATAGCTACGTTGTAAAGCGATATAAAATACTAAAAACAGGAACATGTTTAATTTTTTTTACTCTATAGTTTGCTGGTAACCTGAACCACTTGGTGTCATTGTATTAAAGACTGGAGCCTAGGCTCTGTTAATACCTGCTACTATTAACACACATCAAGGTCAAGGTTTCTTTGTCATTCACATCGCATGTGAATGACAAGCGGCCATCCGGTCAAAGCAGATGACCGCTTGTCCTGAGCCTGGTTCTGCTGGAGGTTTCTTACTTTAAAAGGGAGTTTTTCCTTTCCACTGTTGCCACTGTGCTTGCTCAGGATGGGAGACTGCAACGAAGCCAAGATTCAACTTGTCTGCTGGATTCCTTAGATAGAGAACTTTACTAATTGGCTTTTATGTGAATGTTCCTGTAAAGTGCCCTGAGACAACTTTGTTGTGATTTGGCGCAATATAAATAAACTGAATTGAATTGAATTGAATGTGGCACATGGTGGAATGAAACTGCACAGGGTCCCAGTTGCATCCAAGAAAAATATAAATTGTAAAAAAACCAGTAATAAGATTTAAGATATGAACTAAGAAATACGCTATGCTAAGAATACACTAAGCACTAATCGTACAAAAACAATACACAGAACAGCACGAACATGAGTCTGTGTGAGCAAATGAGTACGAATTGTATGTGTGTTTTTTTCCTTCCTGCGTCCACAACCATCTCCTTCGTCTTCTTCACGTTGATGTGAAGGTTGTTCTTCTTCCTGCACCAACTTTGCAGGCGCTCCACCTCCTTGCCTGTAGCTGGACTCATCGTTTGTGATGCATCTCACCACCACTGTATCATCTGCAAACTTTACAATATGACAACCTGGATGGGTAGATGCACAGTCATGTGAGCAGAGGGCTCGGCACACAGCCCTGAGGGCAGCCAGTGCTGTAGATTATAGTGGAGGAGGAGAAGTTGTGGATCCTCACTGACTGCTCTGTTAGGAAGTATAGGACCCATTTGCAAATGGAGGGGCTTAGTCCTAATGTGAGTAGTTTGTCCATCGGGGTTTGGGGGATCATGGTGTTGAAGGCAGACGTGAAGTCCACAAAGAGCATACGGACGTAGGAGTCCTGCTCCAGGTGGGTGAGAGCAGTGTGTACCACAGAGGAGATGGTGTCTTCTGTTGATCAATTCTTACTGTATGCATACTGGTGAGGGTCCTCATTGATGTTGATGGTTGTTCTGATGTGGGTCATGACCAGTTTTTTGAAGCATTTAGCGACTATCTGGGTGAGGGCTACTGGCCGATAGTCATTCAGCCCAGTCACTGTAGAGCTATTTGGGACGGGGATGATGGTTGTGGTCTTCAGACAGGTTGGAACTGTTGCCAGGGATAGTGAGGAGTTAAAGATGTCTGCCAGAACACTGCAGAGCTGATCGGTACAGTCTTTCAGCACCTTCCTGGGATGTTGTCTGGGCCAGTTGCTTTGTGCAGATTAATCCTCCTGAAAGTACTCCTCACTTCAGCTGAGGTCACGTTGAGAAGCTCTTCTTCTGGTGGTGAGGTGAGTCTGGTGCTGGGTGGTCTGTTCAGGTCTTTAAAGCGTGCGTAGAACTTGTTGAGGGCATCAGGCAGATATGAGTCTCTAGGACTTTGTTCACTCCTGCCTTTATAAGCTGTTATACACTTAATGCCCCTCCACATGCTCCATGGGTCTTGTGAGGTGAATTGACCTTGGATCCTCTGTGCATATGTGGTCTTGCCCCTTTTAATACCAGCAACCAGCTCTTTCCTTGTCCTTCTCAGCTCCTGTGAGTTTCCAGACCTGAAGGCAGTGCTCTTGGCTTCCAACAGATTGCGAACCTCTGCATTCAGCCAAGTCTTCCTGTTCAGGTAACTCTTAACATATCTTAGATGGTGGTGACTTCATCAGCACATTTACTAATGTACCCCAGGACTGAGGATGTGTATTCCTCCAGGTCTAGTGCCCCCTTATTTTCAGCAGCTTCTCTGAAGACCTGCCAGTTTGTGTGTTAAAAACAGTCTTTCAGCATGGCTTCACTATTTTTCATCCAAGATTTAACTTTCTTTTGTGCCGGTCTGGATCTTCTCAGTGGAGGGAGGTAAGTAGGAACCAGGAAGATTGAGATTTGATCAGAGAATCCTAGGTGGGGGTGGGGTTCGGCTTTGTATGCATCTTTTACATTCATGTAAACACGGTCCAGCGTGTTGTTTCCACATGTTGGTATAGCCACATGCTGGTAAAATCTTGGGAGGCAGTCTTTTAGATTTACATGATTAAAGTCACCAGCTACCATGTAAAGAGCCTCAGGGTGTTTGCTTTGCAGCAAGCTAAAATGATCATGCAGCTCTTGCAGAGCGTCTGTAGCATTAGTGTCCAGGACTATGTAAACAGCTGTTATGAACACAACTGTGAACTCGTGTGGTAGATAATGTGGTCAACCTTTCACTGTTAGCTGCTCCAAAGCCTTGGAGCATGAGCTTTTTATCAGAGTACAGTTTGTGCACCAACTTTTACTCACGTAAATGCACACCCCGCTTCCCCTCAATTTCCCCGTTGCCTCGCTGCAACGGTCTGCTCGAAGAAGATTAAAGTGTTGTCCAGCCAAAAAAGTCCATGCTCAATAATCCAGGTATACAATCCAACAATTTTCAGTCAGGTCATGTGGACAGTTTCTTTTTATCCAGCCGTCCATTTCTTCATCTCCTCTGAGGCACCCAAACTCAGACAAAGCAAATCCGTCTTGTTGGCCAACGAGTGGACGTTCGACAGAAAGAGAGGGGATATCGGGAGTTTGTTAGCTTTAGCGTTAGCTCTTAGCCTTACTAGAACCCCCGGCCAGCAACCTCGCTTCTTAAGCCGGGAGCAGCGCCTCCTCTTCCTGTTTGAGTGCCCCTGCTGCAGTTTAAGATCTGCATTCTGCCCAACGTAGATTTGAGTTTGTTGATGATTGCTGCTATATTCTGTGGCAAATCTACTCTTATTTTCATCAGTTCATTTCGGCTATAATTCACACGCATAAATCATGCAGAGTCAGGCACAGAGTCAATTTCCAAATTCATAAAATCTGGGATCACACCGGGTGTCTGTGAAGCTGCGGCTCCCGAGAGCACGATCATCTTGGTAAACGGAGTTTGGAAAAATAAAAAGCCGGCAGCCAACTCCATGATCAGCTGAACACAAAAAAGGAAGTACCACATGTTCATCTGTACGAAGGCAACTG